GGCCAAATTGGTTAAAGGGGGGAGACTAGTCGTGCTTTGGAAAACGCCAGTTCCCAAGGCGTGGTACACCCCGCTCAACGCGCGCCTGTATGTCTGAGTGAGATTTGGAAAGTTAAAGAAACCCATGCACGATGTCCCATTTATTGCTTTATGTGTTTATCACACAGTACGATGATTCTTTCTCTGGGAGTGAGAGAGCTGATTCTTTTTTACTTTATCCTTACAATCCATGCATGTAGAAAATAGTTATGAAATTTTGACATTTTAAATGTTGTGACAACACTTAGATTCTAGATTAGATATAACAATAAAGGATTTTTTAAAATTATTTATTTTTTCATGATGAGAAAATTTCACAGCTTCAATAACTATTCACCATATCACTAATTTTTCGTTCAAGCCATATGTTGTCAGTAGAGGTGATTGTTAGCCTGCAATGGTACTGGAGATTATTCGGTGCTTTTTCGGTAATTCCACCCCCCTTATTTGAGCCTGACCTACTTCTAGATCTAGATATCTATACGTTTGATTCGCGATGAGCTAAGATATCAAACCTAACAACAGCAAAACATTAAATTGTGGTAAAATTCAGGGGGGCATGCCCCCCTGAAACCCCCCTTCCTATTTTTGTTAGGTCAGGGGGGCAAGCCCCCCTGAAACCCCCTACTCTTGGGGCCAAAACCCGTGAATAACAATTGCGGGGTGGGAACTACCGAAAAAGCGCTGATTATTCTACAGAAACTTTTGTGGCTGTAAGTACGTTGAGAGAAAAGTCCACCAATTTAGGCATTCTCCCTTCCACACTTCGGGCAAGGAGGCCAAGAGTAGCCCGAACAGCAAGGTTCCCTAGTCATGATGTGTTAACTCCATACGAAATGTCAAAAGTGAAACTAATACACACTGGCTGAATAGAAGTTATAAGAAGGCTGCAGAAAGTACCATAGACTGGCATAGAGTCGTAGACCTGTCCATTTGACATTTAGAGGCTTGCTCCAGGGTTAGCTACCATGCAAGACTAAAGGTATGAAGAAATTGTCTAAAAATAATGTTTTAAAAATCCATAGTGGGCCTCTGGTAGATCTACTGTTAGAAAGTAAAATAGGATGACAAAATATAGCAGACGAGAGTATAGTCAGCGGGAAACTGCCAGAAAGAGGGAAATAAACATTGAAGGTTCAATACATGTAGATAGAAACATCATTCCAAACTCTTCTTCACTAAACCGACTAAACATACAGAAATTAGTCATTTAAAAGTCTACCTTTTAGATCGGTGTGCCTGCTTGCTCTAATTTGTGTCAGAAATAATTATCCCACTGCTTGTTTACATTCTCTAAGGAAATGATACTAAACTTACTTTTATAATCAAAGAGCTCCACAATCTAGATAAATTGGCTCGCATTTTATGTTATCAATTGATACGGTGAACCTTAATATTATTGCGTTCAATTGAATTAAATTATGTATGTTATCAATTTAAAATTGTGCATGGCTTTATAAGCCAAGCACAGCTTATTTCTGAGAAAAAATGGTGCTTTCTCATTTTCAAAAGCGTGTTTATAAACTTTAAACAAAACTCAACATGTGGTTCACCTTCAAATGTAACTTACATGATCCGGAAGGCTTTTGTGAGAGAACAAAATGAAAAAAGCATTATTTTTACAATAAAACCAGAACATATGTTGTAGATCTAAACATTCTTTTTCATGACGTTTTGACTTTTTGAATGTTTCTGTGTTGGATTTTGTTTATTAGTTTGTTTGTTTGTGTGAGCGAACTGTGATTTTGCTGTTGTTGTTGTTGTTGTTGCTGTTGCTGCTGCTGCTGCTGCTGCTGCTGCTGCTGCTGCTGCTGCTGCTGTTGTTGTTGTTGTTGTTGTTGTTGTTGTTGTTGTTGTTGTTGTTGTTGTAGACTGCTACATTAATATGGGAGACACACTGAAAAAAAATTAGCAAGTCGTTAGAAAGTTTTCTGTTGTTTTAAAAAAAAATACACCAATAGTGAAAGTTGAAGCAACTCACCGTCACAAACGTCATACAAACAACTGGAAAAGATGCCTCATTACAATACACTGCTTCACTTCTCAAAACCAGTCGTAGGTCTACAAGGTAGGCCTCTTTTAAAGACAGAATAGAAACGACAACAAATAGATCGGTAGCTATACACGTCAACGATACATCATACATGTATAACAATATCCAGCTACACATAAACGATACATGTTACGCCATAATTTTACCGGAGATAACACGAAGCTGTGTACCATATACGTACTTGGCGATTCTTTCCCTTCTTCTTGTGCTTATCGTCGTCAATATCCAGGTATCCCTTCAAAGCCTTTTTGCCGTGTTTGAGTAGGGAGGACATAATTCCTTTCGTTCACTGGGCCCAAAGTTGGCACGATCGGGTTGGGGTTTCCGGGACCCCCAACACTGGAAAATCTATCGACGGGGGGAGAGGGGGGAGGGACGGGGAGGGGGAGAGAGAGGGAGAAAGGGAGAGAGAGAGAGAGG